AGGTTAATAGAGGTGAGAGTATTAAAATTCTAAATCAATTATTAATTTTTATTTTAAAAAATTATGTAACTGACATGTAAATTCATTATTATATTAATGCTAGGGACTTGGATCAAAATTTGAAAACTAATAAGGTGTTTGTCAATGAACATTAGTAACTAGGGCCCGGATACTAATTTTTCCTTTAATTAATTAAAAAATATGCAACTAATCAAATTATCACGCAACATTCATTTAGGGACACAAAGATTCCCTTTATGACACACCCCAACCGAAGTCAAGGCATGCTGGCTGTCACGTGAGGGTGACGTAGCCACGTGCGCAACATAAGTGATAATAATAGAAAAATGTGTCCAAATAAAAACCAAAACTAAACCTACTTAAGCTAGAGATAAAATATAAGTGTGTGAAAGTGATTTAAGTATAAGATACACACATATTAGAGCGTAGGTAAATGAAAGTGCAGTTAAACCAACTAAGTACTAATTATACAAATAGGGAGAAGATCCCTACTTATTTATGGAGACGTCAGAACAGCCGTGAAGTCCTCGTGAGCCACCAAGGATGATCAGCCACTTAGAACTTAGAGGGGCGCAAAACAGAAGGGTGAGTGGGCAAAAACAAATCATTTGAAAATATATTTATCTTTTCTAAAAATAATAACCCTTCACTGTAAAACCTGTATAGTTTCCAAAAAATAATACTACATATATATAAAACAACGCACAAGAGTAGTGAAACCCAAAATATGCCATGTCCTAACATTTAAATCATGTAAGCCAGGTGTAGAATCAATGTAAAATAACTTGCCAATCGGAGTCACCTAATGTGCCCTGTACGACTGGAACTATAACTCATCAACCTAGGCTAGCACATAAGTCGGAGTCACCTGATGTGACCTGTACGACAGGCTAGGTATAAATATGTACGCTCAAGTGCTACGATCACGTGAAGGCTGTGCAATAAATTGTGAGTCACCTACGAATTGGAACCACCTATTGTGGTCTATATGATAGGTTGGCACCAGACTTGGATCCAAGGTGAGCGTGCGGTGTGGGAGGTGAACAATCACGTGAAGGCTGGCCCAACCCTTGGGCGGGAACATTAATACCAGGGTGCAGCCTTGATGAGCTCTAAATAAATATATGCATACCAATGCAATACAATCCATTCAATCACATCAAACTCACCTGAAGCTTACCTGAGTCTCCGCAACATCACACAATATAATCCATAAGTATAACAGTGCAATATTCAAAATGCAACTCATTTACGACATGGCATTCAAAGCATAAATCATTTAAGAAAAACGTTTTGGAAACCATATTATATATATATAGAGAGAGAGAGAGAGGGAGGGAGAGAGAGAGAGAGAAAGAGAAAGCAAATGCCCACTCACTGATAAGTAGCAGGATTATAGCCCCCTAGCCTTACTTGTCCACGTTCATCCTCGGGATATGTCTCACCTATATGCGAAATAACTAATTTAATGTTAATTCAATAGCACATAAACAAAACTTAGGTTGAATTCCTCATACGTTGCTCAAATGGGGTGTTTAAATATACTAATGTGATCTACTCAACACCATGAACACCCCCATATTTTTAGAATAATTTTTGGACTTCACACGGGCCCTCACGCGCCGGCCAAGGCACGGCCACATGCCCCAACCAAGCGCAGGGAATATTCTGTTAAAATAGTAGAATATTCTGTTAAAATTACCTAGCACCGTTATAATATATAGAAAGCAAAGTTAACGGAATATGCTCCTTCTTCTCCGGTGACTCGCCTGAGTCCACCGCTGGCCACCGTCAGGTTCGCTAGTTTCTGGAAAAATTTCTAAAGCTTATAACTATTTCATTTCTCAACCAAAATTCATGAATTTTATATGGATTTGAAGGTCTTGAAGAGTAGAACACAACCATACCTATTAGAGGCCCTAAAACCAACGGAAAAATGGTAGGAATAAAGCTTGGAAAATCCGGCCAAATTGGAACTTCTTGAACTAGTGTGTTCTGACATCCACTTCACTCCAAATTTGCTCCAAAATGCTAGGGAAGTTAGGTGAATACCCACTCAGGTCTTAAAAACTCGAAATCACATCAAGATTGTGTCGGAGCAAACTGGGCTCCTCACCGAAGTTCCTGGTTATCGTGTAGCACTCGTCCTTTCTTCAAACTATTGGTACATCTGGAGTCGCGAGCTTAAGAGGAACACGACGATGGCCTTTAAAAGCTCGATCAGTGTGAGTTCTGAGTGGGATGTGTATGGGTGTCACGGTGTACGGAAGAGGAAGGAGAAAGAGGAAGAAGGTCCGATAGAGAGGAGAGAAAAGGTGAGGGTGTGAGTGTGTACATAAGTGATATGGTAGCAAGGGAAGAGTGAGAGATTTTTATTGTGCGTGTGTTTCCGGATTGGGCAAAAAGAGAGAGTAAATTTGTAATTGGTCTCAAAACAAATAAAAGCCCAACAATTAATTACTTTGGCCTGTTTACGTTCTTTTAATAATTGTAACTTTTTCGTTAGAAATTTGATTCGGCCCTAACTTGCGTCAACGCGACGATTTAATTATGACGGAAAGGAAATAATTTAAAACTACATATGTACATCTACGTCACTAAGCCATTGAGGGCAATATCGTCACTTTACACACTCGGGGAGAAAATATATATAATAATTTCTAATGGGTCGTCACAGTCTATTCCCCTTAAGAAAATTTTGTCCCTGAAATTTCTACACATCAACATATCAATAACTATAAAACAGACGTGGATACAAGTCTCGCATACACTCCTTAGTTTCCCAGGTGGCTTCCTCGACCGATGGTTCATCCATAAAACTTTCACCATATGAACAATCTTATTCTGGAGAACCTTATCTTTCCAATCCAAAATCGTCACTGGCTAAGTCAAATCTGGGTTAATCTCTAGTGGTTGAGGATGGATCACGTGTGACAGAGTAGAAACATAGTGACGAAGCATAGACACATGGAAAACATCATGTACCTTTGATAACTGTAGAGGTAGCTCAAGCATGTAGGCAACCTTACCAACTCGCTCGGTTATTTGATATGGTCCAATATACCGAGAACTTACCTTACCTTTCTTACCGAACTGTACCACACCTTTCCACGAAGATAGCTTCAAAAATACCCAATCTCCAACTTTATATACTTTGTCAGTGGCATGTTTATCGGCGATACTCTTCTGTCGATCCTGGGCAGCTTTAAGGTTAGCTTTAATCACCTGAATATTCTGCGTAGTCTCATCCACAATGTCAGGGCCTACTAACACTCTCTCGCCAACTTCAGACCAACATAAAGGAGTACGACAGGGTTTTCCATAAAGTGCCTCAAAAGGTGACATGCCAATGTTAGAATGATAGCTATTATTATAAGCAAACTCGATCAAAGCTAAACGCTTATGCCAAACGTCTCCAAACTGCAAGATTGAGGACTTCAGCATATCTTCCCGTGTCTGAATAGTTCTCTCAGATTGTTCATCTGTCTGAGGGTGATAAATTGTGCTGTAAAGCAATCTCGAACTGAGAGCTTCCTGGAAAGCTACCCAAAATTTAAAAGTGAACCTGGGATCCCGATCAGAAATGATACTCATTGGAACACCATGATATTTAACAATTTTCAAAATAAACTGTTTCGCCAACTGATTCAACGAGTAATTTTCCAGTACTCTAGTGGAAATGGGAAGATATTACCATGAATTTCGTGTACAAGTTACCTCGTATGTGGACTGGTTATGATGGTATTTGGGTGATAGTGGATCAACTCACCAAGTTAGCACATTTCATACTTGATGTGATTTTGAGTTTTTAGGACTTGAGTGGGTATTCACCTAACTTCCCTAGCATTTTGGAAACTATCATTTATACATATATACTATAAAAAGGAAAAGATCCACTTACCCTTGTTTTTGTGCCCTTCCATGTTTTAGCTGTTAAACGTTTGTATCAACGAGGATTCTTGGCGAATATCAGTATAGGTGACTACTTCTAAGGGTAAGATCCTTACCCACTCCATTGTACTTTACTTATGCTTTAACGTCATATGTGAAATGAGTTCATTCTTGCTTACTAGCGCATTCTTATATTTAGGCACTTTTAGGTTTAAATTTAATCACATTTTTCACATCACTACACCTTATGGCTTCGTCACCTTCCAGGTGTCGACCAGCACAGCTCGATTTGGAATCCTAATAGACATTCCGGGTTGGGGTATGTCACTTTAACTCCTTAAATAAGTACTCAAAAATGGTGGTGGGAGTCCCTAAATAAGGACTTCTATTGGTGATGCTCTTAAGTAATAATTCAATCATCAACAAGCACATTATTTGATTTGTAAATTTAATTTAAATAAATTTGATCTTTCTAACATTATTCTAAACTAAAACGTCTTAAATTCGAAGTTTCAAAATAATGAGTTTGCAACTAATATATTCTTAGAATAAAGATATCGTTAACTCAAAAGAAAAAAAAAACCGGAATAAGGAATTGAAAAATCTTTTTGTTTATGATGTGAAATGGAAAAATCTCACGTGATGGAAGGCTGAGAAGGAAGAAGGCATATCCCAAAATTCCTGAGGAGATAAATAAGATGCTAGCAGAGAACGCGAATAGCTGGTAGTGCCACGTGGCTACTACCTGGCAATCAGGCATCGAATCTTGGAATCACGCGACCCAAAGCCAAGCGAGCCAAGCGAACCAAGCCACCACTCCACGCCTATGGCGGTCCTTCCTCTTCTCCTTCCCCTTCCCCTTCATCTTCTCCCCTTTCCTCCCCATCGCCATCGCCATCGCCATCGCCTTCTCCTCCGTCCTTCTCACCCAATTTGCACATAGAATTTCACTCTCACTTTCCCACGCCTCTGCAACTCTCTTTGCTCTTCTGCTCCATCGCCGCCGGCTCGCAACTCAAGGCATAGAGGGCTGAAGACGCGTCTGTCTGCAACCCAAACCCAAAGGTTCCATTTTCCGATTGGGTTTTGGCATCTGGATTTTGCCCGGTTTCCCCATTTTAAAGGTACCTATTTGATTATTCTTTGATTTGGTTATTTGGGTTGTGTTGAATTCGGATCTAATTTCGACAAAGTTTGCAACTTTTGAGGTTTGCGTTGTGTTATTTTGATTGGTTGTTGGCTGAAATTCGGTTCTTTTGATTTGGTTTTGGTGAAATTGTTTCAATCGTCGTCGGGATTGGTGTTCGGGGATATTATGGTTCTCTGTGGTTTTGATAGAGTTGTAATAAATGGAGGATCTTAGTGAAGTTGATGAACATGCTTGTGATTGTCGGCTCGAAGGAAATTATATGGTGTGATCAATACTATGTGTAACAAAGGAATTGCCTGCTTGAGCGACTCTGACTCCGAAAACCCAATTGATCATCAGGCTGTATACTTGATGGATAGCCCTTCCGCTACCCCTCACTTTGGTTCTAATTCCACCGCTGTTTCGTCCCCCAATTCGAACGCGGAAAACCCGCGTGTTAAGTTTCTGTGTAGTTTTTCGGGGAGTATATTGCCCCGCCCACAAGATGGGAAGCTCCGTTATGTGGGAGGAGAGACGCGAATTGTGAGTGTTCCACGAGATATCAAGTTTGATGAGTTGATTAACAAGATGAGGGAGCTTTATGAAGGTGCGGCAGTGCTCAAGTATCAGCAACCCGATGAGGACCTTGATGCTCTTGTCTCGGTTGTGAACGATGATGATGTGACTAACATGATGGAAGAGTATGATAAGTTGGGATCTGGCGATGGTTTCACTAGGCTCAGGATTTTTTTGTTTTCGCATCCCGACCAAGATAGCTCATCGCACTATGAGGGTGAGGAAAGGGATAATGAGAGGAGGTATGTCGATGCTCTCAATAATTTAAATGATAGCTCCGAATTCAGGAAGCAATATCCCGAGTCCCCTCTTATTAATCCGGTTGATGATCTCCATATAGCGGAACAATTTTTTAGTCCAATGAGTCTTGAGGGTGGCCTTCACAGTCAGAGAAATTGTGATATATCCATGGCTCAATACAACTTGCATCAGCTCAAGATACCTCATGCAGGATCGGGGCAACATCATCAACCGATTAGTCAGAGGTATAACGAAATGGAAGCTCCTTGGAGTCCTGCATACTATTCTCCCAGACACCATGCGCACCTTGATCCAAGACCAATGGCTGAGTTTCCTTCCTCTCCTTCCTCTGCACGGTACTGTATGCCGTTTCCAGATGTACCTGATAAATGTTTAGATAGAATGCCTGAAGAATATGCACGACAGCCATTGAATCATCAGCCTCCATATGAACATCAACCACAGTATTCTGAGAATGTTGTATGGCTTCCAAGTGGAGCAATAGGTGGTGAAAAGTCAGGATTTCCAGGTAACATTTTTCATGGAAACAATGCCGTCGAAGGAAACAGTATTTGTGAGCACTGCCAGATGACTTTCCAGAGAAACCAACCACATTTTGAGCAACCAGTCATGGCAAATGGATTTCAACATGTTGCTAATCCAAGCGGCAAGTGTACTGCAAATAGAGAGACTTTCGTGATGAATCCAGATACAAAGTTGCACCATGAAATATACGTAAGTGAACAGAATACTGGTCCTCATCGTTTTAGTGAGACTCCAAATCATGAAAGAGGCTGGACTCCACATCCTCATTTGAATTGCCGGACTGAGGAAGCACGACCACATGCTTCTGGAGCTGGGAAATTGAATGATCCTTACATTGTAGATGGTCACATAAATTTGCCTCTTGGTCCTAATACGGTGGATGACCATCATGTCACTTCCAATTATGTTCATCACCCAGCTGGACCTGAAATGGGAAATGAAGTGTTTCACGAACGATCTGTGGCTGCTCCACCCCATGTACACATTGCTCCTGTAGAAGAGCGTGGTGTTCGTTATGGAAATTTTCCTTATCCCTATGGAGGAGATAATATTTATCGGGGGTCCCATGGACATGCACCTGGACAGGGGTCTCATGGACATGCACCTGGACAGGCAGTATGGAGAAATGTTCAGAGCCCAATGCATGCTGCGCCCCCTTACGAAGCATCCATTTCTGCTCCACAAGTGAATGGTTCTGTTAATGTGGGATATCTCAGACGTGAAGATAGTCCAGGGTTTTCCATTGCATTAGACAATCAAGATATTTGGGTTGACACCTCGCAGGAAATGTTAGGTTTGGAAGGAAAAACTGTTCCTCCGGACTATTCTTATGGGAACGCTGTGAAGTTGAACCCAAACCCACTCTGTCAAGAAAATCATCAAGCATATCCTCCAGACCGCATTCAACCTACACCTGATATGATAAATTATGCTATTCCTTTGGACCCCAGCACCGGAGTTGTAAGGTTGGAGGAAAAGAGTTCACCTGGAGTAAATGAGGTGAATCTTGTGGACAAGGTGGAGAACCCTGAAACAGAGGTTATAAATCCAAACAATCGTTGTGATAAAAATGGTGGTGTGGTATCTCTTGAGTCAATAAATTCGAATTTTGCTAAGCTTGCAGAAGAAAGTTGTAATGTTGGCAAAACAAGTGACGAGGATCAGTCTACTCGTAAACTTTCAAAGCTTTCTGTTAACAATTTGAGTTTCATACCGGAATTGATTGCTTCTGTTAAAAAAGCTGCTCTAGAGGGGGCTGAGGAGGTGAAAACCAATGCTGAAGAAAGTACTGACCCTGAGAAGAGTAGTTCAATAGACAAAGAAGCAGCTGCAAAAAATTTGGAACAACCGGTGAGAACTATATGAAATGCTATAAATGAGATTGGATTATGTGTATTTTTTTTTTTTTTTTTGTCATCTTAATGTGGTGTTGTTTTGTAGAACACTCCTGGAGACAGGGAATTGGATTCTGATAGTGATAATCTAAACAATTCCAAAATTGAGCCAACAAAGGCCGAGGCAGAAGCTATTGCCAAGGGATTGCAGGTTTCTTTTCGCAGTCATCTTTGTGTCATTGTTAAATCCTACATTCATATTTCCTATACCATGTTTCTTGGTCTTTCATGCGGTTTTCTTTTAACTGTATGATTGTAAATTTTTTTGACAGACAATAAGGAATGATGATCTAGAGGAGATCCGAGAATTAGGTTCTGGGACTTACGGGGCTGTGTTTCATGGGAAGTGGAAGGGGTCTGATGTAGCAATAAAGAGAATAAAGTCCAGTTGTTTTGCTGGGAGACCATCAGAAAGAGAACGTTTGGTAACAACTGAGCAATCTTCCTTTCTAGAATATTACAGTTTCTTATAACCTATTATGTAGCACCTTCTTGTTTGTCCCATTTGTGGTCTGCCCAACATATTGTTTGTTCTGGCATTTTATGTGATCTTGTTTCTTGCAAATTTCTGCTATGGAAGTAGTGACTGTGCTAGCTGATGCCGTAATTATACCATTCATTTAATATAATTCACATTATGGAGATTTAGTCTGTAATCTTATTATGTTCACTTTTTGAACTGAAGTAACTGAAATGATGTTGTCGAGAGGGAGACATTATTCTTCCTCTAAAAATTGTATGTTCTTCATATTTTCATCTATGGGTGTGGTACTGACTTCTTCTTTCTTGTCTTCTCAGATTGCGGATTTCTGGAAGGAGGCTTTAATACTGAGTTCATTGCATCACCCAAATGTTGTTTCCATGTATGGTATTGTGCGCGATGGCCCTGATGGATCTTTAGCAACCGTGACCGAATTCATGGTTAATGGTTCTTTGAAACAGTTTTTGCAGAAAAAAGACCGGTAATTAGTTAGTTGTCTGGGAAGGAATATTTCTAATTTGCACTATTGTTTTCTTCTCAGTTTCTATATTAGGGCTCTCTTATTCTTTGCTAGTATGTGATGAATCTATTTATGCCATTGATCAGAACAATTGATCGTCGTAAAAGATTGATCATAGCTATGGATGCTGCATTTGGGATGGAGTATCTGCATGGAAAAAATATTGTGCATTTTGATTTAAAGTGTGAAAATCTATTAGTAAATATGAGAGATCCACAACGGCCTGTATGTAAGGTTGGATGATTTAAATATCAAATTCTTCCACCTCCTTTCCATTCTTACTTTCCAGCTCACTTTATCTTAGTGTGCTTTCTTTTTGGGACTCATATTGATGTGTGTACGTTTCTTTAGATTGGTGATTTGGGATTATCCAAAGTAAAACAACAGACTTTAGTGTCTGGAGGTGTTCGTGGAACTTTGCCCTGGATGGCACCTGAGCTTCTTAGTGGGAAAAGTAACATGGTAACAGAGAAGGTAATAGTGAATTTAGCCTTGGAACATATATTGAAGTTTATGTCTCTCGTGAGTGATAACTCTTGGAAGTGTCACTAGTTTTCTCAGCCTTTAACTCTCATAGTCTCGTGTTATTTTCAATTTTGTAGATTGATGTGTACTCATTTGGAATTGTTATGTGGGAACTGCTTACGGGAGATGAACCATATAGAGATATGCATTGTGCTTCTATAATTGGTAAGAACCAATGTTTTGTAGGCATATATTCTGTTTAATTTTTTTTTCGTAATATATTCCTTCCATTTTTGTTCAAAATGTTATCTCTGGGTCATTCTCATTATTGATTTAGTAATACAACACCAATCTCTGCGAATGTACTTGTAATCGTGGATGCGTACATTATGTATTTGATGCGAGCTTATATGCAATCGCATTTCAATTCCATTTGTCTTCTAGCTGAAATTGTCTGGTTCTGTCATGTAAAATCTATGTAAGATCTAACTTCACTTTATATATACTAGTACTGGACAATTGACAAAACAAAGTTGCTTGCTGTCTGTTTTCTTTTCAGTCGTTGCTCATGTGAAAATAGTAGAACTTGAGCAAGTTCTTAAGGAAACCCCCTAGCTTTAAGACTATTTTCTAACATTTGGCAATTATAACATATTTTCTGCTGATTTGACACTTTAACCTTATTTGTCAACTATCTGCTTTGCAATTCGAATTGTAACTTTCATGTTTTGTTCGAATTGTCCACTGTATTTTTCTCATCGTTTTGATTCTCTTAGGAATTGTTAACGTGTAGATATTTGCTAGGAAGAAAAAGAAAGTATCCTTTTCCTTTGGTATCAGTAATTTTGCATTATTTGGCAACAGTCACCTTTCATTGCAATTACCGGTGCTGTCTTATCCCTGTGTCAGTCCATGACTGAGCACCTACGGCAGTCATCTCTTACACATGCCCGTTGGGTTGGCATGCTTGGATTTTACATGAATTGTTTGCATGCTTTTTAATGAGCCCATTTTCTAGGTATTAAATACCCATACAACATCCACAATTGAATGATACCAGTCAAGGATACTACGGTATAGTTCTGATCTGCAATCTATTCTTTTGTTTTGCTTGCAGGAGGTATAGTGAACAACACTCTGCGTCCTCAAATTCCCACGTGGTGCGATCCAGAATGGAAGTCTTTGATGGAAAGTTGTTGGGCTCCTGAGCCTTCACAGAGGCCATCGTTTTCTGAAATCTCTCAGAAGCTAAGGAATATGGCTGCTGCAATGAATGTGAAATAATTCATCTGGATGCAGTTGATTCACTTCTTGCATTGTATGTTAGCCACGACTTAGCCGAAGAGGAAAATAAATTTTAAGCATAGATTTTGCGGTTTAAGGCCAGCACTGGTTTCCAAATTATATTAAGGCTAATAGTGTATTATTATTATGCCTTGGTTCATATTTAAGCAACCTAATATATGCTGCTTTGAAATGGTAATTTTCTTTGAGAAGTGCTGGATGTGCGCTTTGCAGTGGCTTTTACCCGGAAAATGCTTTCATCATACACGGAGCGGAGCCATGATGGCACGATCAGAACGTGAGTCCATCTATTTACATATTTTTTCGTGTTAGTATACGTTTACTCTTGTCACTCTCCGTAGTAATGCAGTTACTTATGGCTCTTTGGTACAGGTTGAAGCTAGTTTGGTTTAGATTGGAATGGCGGTACCGCTATCAAAGCTGAACCAAGGTCGCTTCCGAAGGATGTGTATAGACATTACCGTGTTTTACAAGGTTGAACCGCTCTTGTTATTCGTTTTCGGGGCCTCTGCTTAGTATGCAAGATAGATGTTACAGCTAGGGACATCTGTTTATATGTCCGACTTCTGTACGAATGTAAAAAGCGTATGATTATCTGTGAGAACCTCTTTACAGTGTTAAGTCTTGCTGCAGTATTTATTCTACCTAGAAATAAAACACAGATGTAAAAAATTACTTGGATATTGAACGGATTTGTACCCGGTACAGCGGCGGGAATCTAAGTTGATCGGAAAATATTTGGAGCTCATTGTGAAATTCCGATGGAAAATATGAATAAACTTGCGCGTTCTATTCTTTTGTTTACGTTTCTATTAATACTGTTGGCAAAGTCAATTGCAAATCGTCAGCATGGACGAGTCCCAAGTGGGTCATCTACAGCTTATCACATCAGTGGTTCAACTCGTAAGCTTTGGACCATGTTACTTTGTACTCTCATTTGGGGCTCGTTTCAAGGGTTGTCGGGCTTCTTTGGAGTATGCTTTCGTTTATGGATCATTTTTCGGGAATCGTCTTCAATGTTCATGTGTTTCTAGCCGGGGCACTCTTCTTCTTCTTTGCCCATTTTTTTCGTTGCTAGGTATTTCGCTGCTCTTGGCTTCGGCCCCTTCTTTTATTCCTGTTCACTGGCATCCTCGGCAATTGGGGTGGATTAAGGTGAATATAGATGGTTCTTGTTCTAATGGGTGTGCGGGTTTTGGAGGGATTTTCCGTACCAATGAGGGCCAAGTCCTTGGCGCTTCTGCCGCTTGTTCTTAATTTCTGAGTTCGGTGGTAGTGGAAATTTTAGCTTTTATTGAGGCAGTTCGTGTGGAGTGGGTTGATGACTGGAAACACTAGGATTGAAACTGATTCCACTTTGGTTCTGCATTATCAACGACCACAATTCCATGGTTTTTGTTGATTGATTGGAATTATTGTACACATAACGGAGTTAGTACACGAAATTAGTTTCTGCTTGCAAACCTATTGGATACCTATTGGATTGTAGCTTACTGCTGCTAATTGCCAAGAATGGTGGACCACATCCTGTCATCATTTTGGAGCATTTACTGAGCACAGAATGTATTTCGAATTTGAGAAGGTGACAAACATTTACTAGGCCAGTAACACCACTGAGACACTATCTTGATTGCGAAAGAGTCATCAGAGGTGTTATCGTTTGGTTTGGTACTTGCTATACGTATTATCAATTCACCACCAAGTTTCCCGATAGATATTTAAGCCGCCAATCTAACTTCTAAAAGATATCTACAACCTTTACCAAGCAATGCAAAACATGCATACATAAATTTTTGTAGGAAATAAACTAAGAGAGCATAAGAACCTGGTTGACCTTGGACTATTAAAATTTTGTTTATATTCGTGTTTAAGAAATGACATTGATATTGGTTCTGGCTAATGATTAAACTACTATATATATCATCAAGTCTAAGTTATGGATCAAATTGGCTTGGCATTACCAACTCTCTTTTCTTTTTTCTCTCTTACATACAAAATGTTTGAGGTCAAATTCTGTGACACCATCAACTGTTGCCATGTACCTAATACACGCCAATGACCTTCTGTTTTCAAAGTCAAAGTTCGCACGTAGTTAACTTCATGCAAGTGCATGCGCATGCATGTTTGTTAACATCTGTTACAAAACCAGTACAAAAGCAAGAGCTAGGATGCTGAAATCTCAACGGTTAATAACACAAGTTCAAAAATCAGACAACAATGCAGCGAGTAAATGGCATTACAGTAACTCAGTAACGAAATGAACTGCTACCACTGGTTTGTGCTGATAAGTTTTGGACTATAGCTCACTGCAGCGGTGATAGCTAATTGCCAAAAATGGAGGACCGCGTCCTATCTATTTTAAACTTTTTGCACTACTTGTACAGATAGCACAGGGGATTTAGTCCAGTGGTAGGATGCTCGCTTAGGGAGCGAAAGGTCCCGAGTTCAATTCTCGGAATCCCCATATCCTTTTTGTTCCCTCGTTTCTGCTAACCAGAGAAGACTACAAAGGACTTATGTAATAGCCAAAATATAAAAGCAAAAAGGTCAGAAGTTTGTACTTCAGTTGGTTAAGATCCTAACTTCGATTCTTCCTGCTTCACCCTTTGTAAAAGTAGAGAGCAAATATTGTTGAACCTAACCCTAACGAGTGTAGGTTGGCCTACAAGACAATACGCAAAAACTCCTTGGTACCAAATAGGGTGGATATCCAAAAAATACTTTGGGTGCTGAAAAGACTACTAATTGAAAAACTTGTTAGGTTTTTTGTTGTCAAATTTGAAATGAAGAAAAAAAAAACACAACACAACGACAGTTTGACAAATGTTGATGACTTTGAAGAATGGGGCAGAGAGACTTGAGTATAATGAGCTCAGCAACTGCTTCCATTTGTAGCGTCTTAGCGCGTTACTTTACATAAAGTGCATGGAGGACTCTCAGATAACAACAGCTTCAATAATTTATAGTTTACAGGCATTTGTCAAGGTTAATCAATATTTTATGTCTCAATTTGTTAGATTATTGAAATACATTTGATTTGATATTATGTTATGCGAGCCCACCTTCGCATCCTAATTTGTCAACCCCTGTGACATCATTTGTATTATACAAAGCTCTAAATTTTATGTGAAGTTTCCGAAATTTATATGCTGGCCAGGTGATATGTACGTGTGCCTATGGGAAACGTAAATATGATTAATGTCGCCTAAGGAAAGTATCCAATGTTTAATCAATAAGTAGGCACCAACATATTTGAGTTTAATTAAATTGGTTAGAACAATGTGTTCCACATAATTTAGATAAATACACTGTAAGTATGCTTGATAATTCCTAACACGACACGATACAAAATTAACAGGTGTTCGGGTTGACACGATAATGAATGGGGTCGTTATCGGGTAACCCAATAAACACCTGTTAAGATAACGGGTTGATTCGGGTATACACGTAACACAATACACGATAAGCAAAATGTTAATTTTATAATTTTATAACCCTAAAAAAAATACTATAATAATTATATATATATTAATTTAACAATTTTATACCCTTAAAAACTATAATAATTATATATATATATATTAAATTAAATTAAAAAAATTGTTGACCATTGGATCAGCTGAGATTTAATCTCAGCCGTCCATTGTGCATTAGGTTGGAGGCTATCTTTCTCTTCTCTCTCATTCATTTTGATCTCTCCAATCCAGACTTACTCCAGCGTCGTCTCCTTAATTCGCATCTCTCTCGTATCCTCCTCTGTTCACTTCCTTCAACTCGACTCCGGTAGCCATAAGAAAACCACACCTAGGCAAGCACGCGCTAAAGGTATGAATTTTGTATTTTTGGGTTAAAATTAAAACTAATGGCTGAGGATTTTCTGGGTTTGGGGCTTTTGGGGTTTTCTGATTTTGGAGATTCTGGAGTTTCTGGGTTGGGGCATGTTTGCAAATATTCAAAAAACCCAACGATTGAGCAAGTGTGCTTCGCATTGGCTTCGCAAGCTTGAAAATCACAAAGGGACAAGGCAGAAATAGAATCAAGCATTGGAATTTGGGAGTATATATGTAGTTATGTAAATTAACTTTATTATGTCATGCCATTTAGTCGTATTGTAAGCCGTAAGGTCAGATTCATTACTTAATGTCATATGTGTGTATATGTGTGTGTGTGTGTGTGTGTGTGTGTGTGTATTGGGGATATGTTATCAAGGGACTGTGGCCTGTAGGCAGGCAACGACAGAGTAGTGATGCCTCACCTATTTTTGTTTTGCTGTAGTAGATGCAATGTCTTAATTATTTATATGGAATTATTTGTACCAAGTATTGGCAATTGGTAGGCAGGTCCTTTTTTTTTATTGTGAATGTCGCGAGTTCATTTGTATCTATGTTTCATTTGGGGTCTATTTACTTGAAGTTAATAAGTGGGGTCTATATTTGTTTTCCAGATTTGGAGATTTGGAACAAGCAAGGTTGCAACTTGCAAGTGCAAGGTATTTTTAATTGAATTGTGAATTTGAAAGTAAATTTGAATTGGATTGTGATTTGTGGACATGTGAATTGGATTTTGAAATTGAATTGGATATGTGAATTTGAAATGGATATAGATAGGTGAAATTGAAATTGAAATGGATATGTGAAATTGAAATTGAAATGGATATGTGAATTTGAAATGGATATGGTATGAAATTGGTATGAGCAAGATTTTACAGTTTTGTTTTTCTTTCTTGAAGCAATGGATGCTGTAGAGCAAGATTTTATGAACCTTAGTGATGGAGGGTCAGTGGAAGTTACAATGGGAATACAACCTGATCATGGAAGTGAAAATACAAAAGATACAAATCCAAGTCCGGCAAAGAAAAAGGCTAGAGTGATCAAATCAGGTAAGCGAACACTTAGGTCTCCTATTTGGAAAACTTTCAACAAATTGACTACTATTTTTGAAGATGGTAAAAGTCATGCTCAATGTAAAGATTGTAAGAAACTGGTAATAGAGCACTTTCATTATCCAATACTTTCTCAGTTAGCACAAGATGCGTTAACAATTTCCATTTCAACTGTTGCATTAGAATCTGCATTTAGTATTGGGGGTAGAGCACCAAATTAAAGAAAAAGCTCATCGAACCCAAGTTGGATTTTGAGGAATTGTAGCAAGTTAGCATAACTCTTGGTTTCATAAAGGAACACCAAGGTGGGATCTTCCAGCCGCACCAAATTTTGTAGCACTTAAACTTGTCGGGGGTTCCCAAGCCCCCGACAATTCCAAATTAGAAGATTCATGGCTTTCGGCGGGGACAAGGCACGCTCGCCGCCACCGATTGAGATTTGCTCTTACTTGCCTCATGGATTTGCCTAGAAGCCCAGCCTTAACCACATCCTCGAACTCCTTAGAAGGGTTGATGATCACCTCTAAGGGAGAACCTTCGCTTAGGTCACTAATCATTGTCGAGGAACTTCTCTTCCATCGCCGACCTTCTCTCTTTTTTCCTTTAGACTTGGACATAATTGAACGACCCTTGGAGTTAGACAGTCGAAGGACCTGGCTAACATTGACCTTGGGCTTTTTAGATATCCAGCTTGGAGAAGGGTCAGCTGGAGGCTTTAAGTTATTGTTATTTATGAAATCATACTTACATGGGTACATTCTTTGTTGTTGAATTGGTGTCGATGCTTTGGGCCAATCTGGCGGTCTCTATTTAATCTGGAAAGAGGAGTGCAATATCCGTGTCTTCTTTAGCTCCTGGTCACACATTGATGCTGAAATAGGAGGAATTAGGGATCCAGATCACTGGAAATTCT